ATCTTAAAGATTATTGAATCCTTCCTTTCCAATTATAGTATAAAAGTTGTCATCAATAGACAGGACTCTTCTTCATATCCTGTAACTCCAGGGGTTATTAAGGTCCATTGCCCCCAATGTCCCATACTCTTTAATTTACATTAACGATCTTCCAGATATTCTCACATCTAAGGTAGAATTGTTTGCTGATGATACTATCATTTATTCTTGTCATGATAAGAAACCAACACTCTCTGATTGCTTGGAAGGGGCATTTGAGCTTGAAAAAGGATCTCACCTTTGCTACAGCATGGGGCTCACAGTGGCTGGTGAACTTTAATTCAGATAAAACTCAAGATTTTTAGCAAATCATTATCGCAACCTTAGCATCTGCTAAGGTTGCATCTCTTTGTCGAGCTCGACACTTTCTTACTCTGGATTCTATTCTCTATCTCTATAAATATTAAGTTCGTCCTTGTATGGAATACTGTTGCCATATCTGGAGTGGATCTTCTAATGATGTCCTTTCTACTTTAGACAAGGTGCAAAAACGCATTGTAAATATAGTTGGACCTATTCTTTTAGCCAATCTCCAAGCATTGTCACATTGTCGTAATGTTGCTTCTCTTTCTCTTTTCTACAAATACTATAATGGGCACCACTCTATAGAGTTAGCGTCTTTTGTGCCATCTACTAATATTCATTCTTGTGTTACTCGTCATTCAATTAAGTCACATCCTTTTTTCTGTGACTGTGCCTAAGTGATCCAAAAACTCTTAATTCTCTTTGGAATTCGCTACCTTCATCTTGCTTTCCTGATTCATATAGTTTGCAATCATTTAAGTCGTCTGTCAATCGTTTTCTTGCTTTTCAATCTTCATCTTTTCTCTTCCTGTAACTTATAACTCTAATAGTGGTTGCTTGCAGCCTTGTTGGGAGTGAAGATATTAAAAAAAAAATAGTGTAATCTACAATTAAAATGTTAACTCTGATTCGACAGTGACTGATTAGATGTGATAAACAGCTTAGTCTGTCTAATATATATATATATATTTTTACCATTTAAAATGCATTTGTTTTGTTGCTTTTGGTTGTTGTCAGACTCTTATTTGTACGCCCATTTGCTTACCATGATCTGTGTTCTGTATGTTAAAAAATTGTATCTTTATTATCACTCATTATAAATGAAGTATAAATAACTTGCATTCTTAATCAAGGCTGTATTGTGGGGTAGGGGATTATTGGGAGCCTTTGAGTTTGTTTTTTTTTTGTACCAAATTTCTTTTGTTTTTTGCAAATTTTATTATCAAAATTTTAAAAAAATTTCAATTTAGCAATCTAAACTGTCTCACTTTTCAAAAATGACCTGAAAAAATGAAAAAATTTCATGGTATTGTGCTTTTAATGTTTTCTGTTTATAAACTGTAACGGGATGTTAAAGCAAAATTTTTTAAGTTAAAATTTGTTGATGCAATTTTTTTTAAAGTTTTATTTTTAACTGTCAAGCCTGCACTGCAACTGTCAAGCCTGCACAAGCCTGCAAAAATTTTTTTCTTACAAAACTTAAAAACAACAAGTGATTTATTATATATTTTTGTAATAAGATTTTATTAATTTATATAAATTTTTTTGGTAAAACCTTTTTTCACAAACTTAATTAAATAGTTAACTATTACAAAATAGTTATTTATTTAATGTTGAATGGCTCTTTTTTTTTTGCCAGTGGTCGTACACTCCTCCAATCTTCTGGTGTTTCTCAAAGAAACCTTTTTATTTACAAGAACCATGTCTTTGTCACTTTACATAAACTGATGACCTCTTATTGAAAATAAAACAGTTACACTGTCAAGTCTCTTTTATGAACTAGATAATACAAGAAGTTCAAAATTGTCCAGTTTTTATTTTGAAAGTTCTTAATATTTAAATAGCAAATAACCTTAGCAACAGAAGCAGTGGATCAATATGTTTTTTTCAAAGAACAAAAGAGTGTGGTCACTCAATTTAAGAGCTGAATTAAAAGTAAATTTTTTTGCAAATAATTCTGCCTCACCCTTTATAAGAGGTAGTTCAATCAGACCCATGAATAAGAGATTGTTACATTTGCTTTTATTAATTAGATTTTTAAAGATTTTTCAAAAGTCTTTTGAACATAAGTTCTAAGATAAAATAAGAGATTTATTAACCATCATCAAAAAAATTGCAAAATGATTCGCAATTATTTCTAAGGTAGTAGTAAGAAATGCCATGGTAAAGTGAATCTCATTTTGAAGAAGTATGAGATAAATGTTTTAATAAGATTATACATGATCTTAACCACCTGAAATAAAGAAAGAAAAAAAGATTAGAGAAGAGTAACAATTCAAAGAGTAAAAGTAAGTGATTCACATTTTTTTAACAACCTGAAAATTAAAACGTAACCTTGAAAATTACAAAGTTTAATATCTGTATGAGAAGTAAAAAAGTTAAAAGTAAAAAGTTATAAACTTTAGCATTACTATCATCAGTACTACTATCATCAGTACTACTATCATCAGTACTACTATACTTTAGCACTATTATCATCAGTAGTACTAAAGCCAAGCCGCTCAAAAACTTTAGTTCCACCACTGTACTAAAGCCAAGCCACAATAAGAAAGGAAGGGCTTGGTCTATTTGATCAGAAATAACATCGAAGAGAGTGTAGTATTAAGAAAAAGGTGAACAAAGAAAAAAGTGTAAGGATTGAGTGAAGAGGGGCTAAAAAGTAGCACAGGCCAAGAATGTGACAATTTTATTTTATAGACTTTGTAAGTCTAAAAAATAAAATTTTCACATTTAAATAAATTTGCAAGTATATTAAAATAAAATATAGTGATGTAAAATAAAAGATAAGATTCAACATTTGAAAGGTTGCTTTGAAGACCACTAATATTTATGAAGGATAAGTTGAAACCATTTGGTGGTGATAACAATTTTCTTTAGTTAATAGTTTTAAGTTTATTTTTGTTTTGAATAATTAGCCAATTAAAAAAGTGCATGATAGCCTAAGCAATAAGCTAAGTGGTTACTTCATTCCTTCTAATCAACTCAAAGTTGTAGTTAAGGGATCTTTGTGTGGCCTCTACAATGTACACCAAAAGTACATAAGGCGTACCATGCAAAAAGTTCCATTGTTAATACTATGGTATTTTACAGCTGTTGGTGGAATTAGTCCTTCTAAGAGTTGCTGCAAAGTTTATTGAACCTTGCCACTAATGAGCTTCAGAACCATTAAACTGAGTTTAAAAGCTGTAGGCTTATTACAACAGGAAAGATTGATAGCATTTATCATCCTAGGCAGGAAATAATACATCTTCACCAGTCTATTAGATAAAGAAGGGTTTATCGGAGGATTTCTGCTAACTGCTAAAAGTCAGTTCTTAGAAGATCTTCTGCAGGCAGTGTGGATGGAGTTAACATCTGCCCAAGATGAGTATTTTTATTAAAGGTACCATCTCTAGCTTTTACTCAATCAAGAGTCCTATGTCATAAAATATTTAACATAATTATGCCAATTAACATAAAAATGTCATAAATAAATAAAGACTCATTCTAACATTGTTTTAGCTTTATCTTAATTAAAATATTTTTTTATTGTTATTATAGGTACGTTTATTGTCATAAGTACATTTATTACAGTGAGGAATATTTGAAGATAATTTGCAACATTTTCTTTCTATTGTTTTGTAATATCTACCATATGTATGTTTAGTAATATCTACCATATGTATGTTTTGTAATATCTACCATATGTATGTTTTGTAATATCTACAATATGTATGTTTTGTAATATCTACCATATGTATGTTTAGTAAAAATATAAATAATAGTTATAAATGATTTCAATGTTTCAAATAACGTTATTTTCTTTATTTTTGTTAGTTTGATTGCAATAGACTGAAAAAATAAAACAACCCAATAATCCTGTATTTTTGCAAACCAAAATTTTGTTTGATATCTTTTTTAAATTTATTGAAGCCAAAGTATTTTTCAAAGATATTACAAGTTGGTTACATTGAAAATTGTTTTTGTCTATAAGTAATTCTTATCTTATCCATTTATCCATTTATTTATTATTTAACCGTGAAATTGAAAAAAAAGAAAGAAATTTATTTATAATTTTACAAAATTAGGTCGTGTCACTCATATAGTTAAAAACTAGTCATTGGAATGACACCTTAATAAAATAAACAAGTAAAGCAAAAAACAAACAATCAACAAAAAATGATAATATAGGTAGTGACCTAAAATTTCAATAAAAAAATCATTGAAACAACATAGAAAAAGGAAAAAGTGAGTGAGCTGACATTAGAGATAATGCAACGTTTAACTATCAGAAGGATGATAGAAAACAAAAAATAAAATAGAAGGATATATTTAAATATTATAATGAGATAAAACATATAAAATCACTTGAATAGTAGCAACAAATATAAAAAATAAAACAATAAAAAATAATAAACAACAACACCACACAAAAAAAACGAACGACAATATAAACAGTTTACAAATGTACATATAAATATAAATGATGAACAAAATTACACGACAGTATAAACAAAACATAGAGGTACATGACAAGATAAAAAATACAACAAAAAACTTTAAAGTTCTTTTTGTTTTCTTTTAACAACTTATTAAAGTTTTTTATTTTCAAATTTATTACAAACATTTTTCTTTTAACTTTGCTTTTAGGTGTTTATTTATTGTTCAATTTATATTGTTCAATTTATATTCTTTAATATTTTTATTGTTTTCACTTTATTTTTTTTAAGTCTTTTATTCTAAACAATTTTTATTTGTTTTTCCTTTTTACTTTAATTTATTTTTCATCTTTTCATCCTTGAAAAAAATAAACTTCCTGAACAAAAATACTTCTTGTTTCATTTGCGTGTTGATGTATCTCTTTGCGTGTTGATGTATCTCTTTGCGTGTTGATGTATCTCTTTATCAAAATATTTTATTAGTAAGTTATTTTTTTTCTTTTTTTTTTCTATTAATAGAAATTATTAGTGAGATGCAATTTTGATCTAAGTCATCGTGTATCTTCTGTTCAAGCAAATGATCATAATATCCTCTGTTCACTTCGATATTATGGATTTGGTGATTTAAAAGTAAAGGTATTGTTACAATTAGGCTTAAATAAAGTTTATTATTATGTAAAAAAGTTTTAATGAACTTTCTGTTACATCTTTTTTAGGATATTACACCATCTAGTTTATTTTTTTATGAAGGTACAAATGTAGTGCCAGTTGAGCTAGGTATTTTTCTTTTTTGTTTACTTTATTTTTAATGTTAAATTGTAGTTTTATTATTTGTATTTTTAAACTTCCTAATTATTACTTTTATGGATTAATTCAGATTTTAAATTTAATAAAATTAAAACTTATAATTAAAAATTAATTAATATTTATAATACTACATTAATATGCAATTATTAAATAATAAATTTAATTATTAATTAATAACTGTACAATTTCATGTTTTGTTAGAGTATGAAATTGTGCAGTTAAAAATATGCAGTTGAAAATGTGCAATTAGGTTATTTAAGTTTAGTTTTTTAGAGTGTAAGATAATAAGTTAGGCTCTTTAGAGCTTTATTAAATTGTTATAAAAATGTTATTGCGAATATTCAAGTTTTAAACATTATGTTGTCATGATCGCAGTTATTTATAGCATAAAACTTTGGTGATAGGAAATTAATAGATTAAGTTCTCTATATGAATACTTTTCGATATGAATTCCTTCAACCCTGAAGTTGCTAATTCCATATTTTTGAGGTTCCTGTTCTTGACTCTGAAGTGGAGTTCAGCTACTTTTGAGGCTTATGTGTCATAAAAACCTCCAGAGATATAAAATCTTTCAGGGATGAAAAAATCTTTAAATTTTATTAAATAGCCAATCACTTTAAATTTGAAATAAAATTGCTTCATCAAAATCAGATTTTTTTTATTTTTATTTTATTTTTTTTATTAAATTCACCTCCTCAAGGCCGAGAAGGCCACTACAGACAAGGAGGCTACTTATTTGTGGCTATAGCCCTCTCTCAACTCTATAACTCCGAAACACGAACCTTGATGAACAAGGCCGCTGCGCGGAGAAACGAGTTTTTCATAAATGATTTTTAATTTTTTATAATTTTAATTATTGAAAGGTCTTTAAATAGAAATTAAAAAATGTAGAAGAAAAAAAGTTAATAATCAAGTACCTTAAAAAATGAAATTGGTTATTAAATAACTTAAAAAATGAAATTGGTTAATAATTATATAACTTAAAAATTTAGTGACTATCAAGCATGATACTATGCAAACCACATTGTTGCTATGCAAACCACATTGTTGCTATGCAAACCACATTGTTGCTATGCAAACCACATTGTTACTATGCAAGCCACATTGTTGCTATGCAAACCACATTGTTGCTATGCAAACCACATTGTTACTATGCAAGCCACATTGTTGCTATGCAAACCACATTGTTGCTATGCAAACCAAATATAGCATAAATTGAAAAACAAAAACAAATAAATAAAAGAAAATTCAATAGTTTTGATTATATTCATTTATTTCCTCATTGGCTGTGGTTAAGATAAAAAAGTGTTTTCGACTGTGGTAGAGATGTTTAAGATAAAAACTTAATATGAATAGTGTTTTCCATCATAGGCACGAATACTAAATGCAAATGAAATTGAATGCAAACAATTACTACTGAAGTGTTTAATGGTTTTTACATTAAAGAGTTTAAAATCAATATAAACATCAATTATAATTTAACAAGAAAAGAAAAGGACAAAAAAAAAAAGGAGAAATAAATTATTAAGTTTAATAGATGATAAGAAGAGAAGATCAATTTGTTAAAAGAAGATAATTTTTATAACTTTCATTTTTGTTATTGTTGTATCTTTTATTTTTTATCATATTTTAAACATTACACTTTTATTTATATTACTACGATCTATTACTAGATTACTTATTTTAATATATTATAATATACAATATTTATATTATTATTATATTTTTAGTTTATATTTCTCTGAAATTTTCTTTGTTTGTTTTTTTACTTATTTAATTTGATTTAATAACTTTCTTCATTATTTTTGTTTTTGTTTAACTCAACTATTTATTTGATTGCTGTGTTATTGTTTCAACTTCCATTATTGTTAGTGTTAGTGTTTTGATGTTGTTATCACTTGTTTATAATAATCTATTCATTAGTATTATTTTATTTTAACTATTATTAGTAACATATTTAATTCTTATCTATTGTTTCTTACTCTCTAATATTGCAGTTCCACTATGACTTTAAACCATCATTTGTGTAAGTCAAAGTTCCTGCTCAACTCAATGTTTTTTTTGTTTATTTTGGAAATACAAAATGTGGCAGGCTCAATGATACTGAGTTCAGTTTACTACAATTAAGTTGCTCCTTGCAGCATTGTGTAAATTGTATTAAAAGTATCTTTCCATTCATATATATACCAGATAACAACTTTTAATTTTCTTCTGATACTATTCTTATAACTGATGATTTACCTGTCTACAAACCTTTTCCCATCTTTTCATTAAAATAAAGTCTTTAATCAAATTATTAATTATGTTTGATGTTGTCTTTTAGATTCCAATGAAGAAATTTCTTTTTCATTAGACATAGTTTGTAAATATTATGATATAACCGAATTGTGTACACTTAACTTTAATAAAATAAATGCTCTCTCCTTTTTTCATCTTAATGTGTTACAAAAAACTTTGAGGATTTAAACATAATACTATCATTAAATTTGATTTTTCCGTTATTAGTATAAGTGAAACAAGGTTAAAAAAAGGAACGACCTTAATTCGTCTGGTTCTCATTGATAATTTACAACATTGAGCACACACCAACAGAATCTTCTTGTGGTGATACATTATCACATTTATCAAAAAAACTAATATACAAAAAAAGATATAATTTAATTATTTACACACCTTATTGTTTAGAATCCACATTTTTTGCAATTATTTTTTGTAAAAAGTCTAATATTATTGTTGGTTGGAATTATAGACACCCTTGGATGAATATAAATGTTAATATCATTATAATTAATGTATTTAATAATATTGTTATTAATTAAAATAATGATATTAATAATATTAATACCAATTCTGTCCTACTTCAAAAAATATCTGCTGAAAAAAAAATCTGTTTTCTTAGTGATTATAATATTGATCTGATACAATCAAATAATAACATTGCAACGTCTGATTTTTTTAAACTTATTTTCTTTCTGTAATATTTGTCCTTTTAAATTTGTTCTTTTTAAAAGCATAACAAACTTTATATCAATAGTAAGCTAAACAAAAGTACTTTAATAAATTTTTTTTTTTTTTTCACACGCATCATTTAACAATAAGAAATGCATAGTGCTTAAAACCAATATAAATAGTAACTAAAACTTCAAGTCCGAAACAAACCTCATTTAATGAATAAAAATAACTTTTTTTTTTCAAAAGACTTAGGTAATTACTTAACTAAATACTTAACACTTATACAAGTTAAATTTAACAGTGTTAATGCTATTTTATTTTATAATTTATAAATTAGTTATAAAATATAACTTTATAAATTTAAAGAAGTTTTTTTAATGAAGGATCATCTAAGATTTTTCAACTTTGTCAAGTGATTTTTCAAACTTTTTTTTAATTACACAATATAGTGAGAGCTGCTACCAGAGGCTTGCGGTAGTGAAAGTCGCTACCAGTGGCTTGCGTTAGTGAAAGTTGCTACCAGTGGCTTGCAGTAGTGAAAGCTGCTACCAGAGGCTTGCGGTAGTGAAAGCTACTACCAGTGGCTGCGGTAGTGAAAGTTGCTACCAGTGGCTTGTGGTAGTGAAAGTTGCTACCAGTGGCTTGTGGTTGTAGAGTTAAGCAATAACTAAATGTAAATTAAACAAACAACTCTATTGAACCATATGAACTAAATATAAAACGAGAAACCGCATCATACTGCCTTTATTTTTTCTCTGCCTGCAAACTCTAATAATCACAAAATAAGTAAAATTGTTACATCATTTTGGCTGTCTTCTAAAACAATGTAATAATAAAGTAAGTAAAAAAAAATTATAAATATAAAAAAATATATATATATTTGTATAATTTTTTACTAAGTCAAAAATATTTTTAGTGATTTAGTAAAATATTATACAAATATTTGATTTTCTGATTGTAGTAGAAAAAACTACTTATATCAACAACAAAAAAACGCTATCTTAAAAAGATATTGCTATGACGTCAAATACCAAAATGTTATGAATTATCAAGTCTGCAGATTGTAGCTAACATTATACAGTCTTTGAGAACCAAAAAAAATGGAGACGGCAAGCCATTATTTTAATTTTGTTGGTATGCGTTCATTATTTAGTTTCAATCAAAAAAATTCAGCCCAAATGTTTTTTTTAAACATTTTCTTTAACATGAACACAACTTGTCTTGGCAGTTGGGGATCCTGTTAATCATTTAACACTTTTTTTACAAATGTTGGTTATATACTCAAATTCAATGTTTATTTGTCTTGCATTAACTATTAAAAGTATCTTAAATATTCAAATTTACATAGTTTATTACTCCAACAAATACTCCTCAAATTTTATCTCTTTTATCTAAATTGAATCCAAAAAAATCATTAGGTCCAAACAGCGTTTTTGCAAACATTCTTTTAGATTTTAACTATAAATTTTCAAATATTCTTTCAAAACTATTTAATATCTCAGTCATAAATAGAATGTTTACCTGTATTTTGGAATTATCTTGCGTTTTTCCAATATATAAAAAGGCTCTAAACTTTCATGCACTAACTTATTTCTATTTTATCTAATACTAGTAAGCTTCCAGAAAAAATTATGTATTGTAGAGTGTACTCTTTTCTAAACTCATTTAATTGTTTAAATGATTTTCAATTTGTTTTTCAATCAAAACATTCTACTTGCCATGCATTAATAAGTATAACAGAAAAAATCAGGATAGCTCTTGATACTGGTCATTTTGTTTGTGGTATTTTTATCGATTTACAAAAGGTTTTCAATACCATTGACCAAAATATATCTAAATTAGAACATTCGTAGTATTGCAAATGACTGGTTTCAATCTTATCTTTCAGATCAAAAATTTGTAAGTATTATTGGTTTTAATTCTAGTAATAAATCTGTTTTGTGTGTTGTTCCTCAAGGTTCTGTTTTTGTTCCTCTTGTTTTTATTCTAGGTGAATGACCAAACCAATTCCGTCTTCT